TTTTTAACGGAAATGCCTTCAATTACAAGGTGAGCTTGAAAAAAGCACGTGAAATTAGAACCCAAAAGTCAGAAGCAAAGAAAAATGTCAATAAGAAAATGAAGTGGATAGGCAACGAAATAAATTAATAGCTACAATTCAACAATTATCTGATAAAAAGGTTCTAGCAGTCCCAAAAGTTTAAATGAAGGATAAACTGTCACCACCATTTGGAGAGGAAGTTGCATCAAATATTTTTAGTTCTACTACTTGAAAACAAATTATTATTATATGTTGTGGCATAATTAATATACAGTAAATTAAATCCGTATTAGGAAAATATTATGGGTTCGACATTTATTGCATTTATTGCCACATGATTTACATGAAAAAAAAATTCATAAGTAAACTTTTATATGGACTCCATATATTATAGTTTTGATTTAATTAGTTGGCAGCGCACCCCAATGAAAATTTAGCCGGATTTATTTTGCCGGTTCACATACACTATTAGAGTTATGAAAAATAAAATGGGTAATAGTTAGATTTTTCTTCATAAAAATATTCCAAGTCCTAGAATAATTATAAAATTGAAGAACAGTTGGGATGTCGTGTGACAAAACCTTACTCAATCCTAATTTTACTCTAAAATCCTAAACTATCCGGCAAATAAATCCAGCTAACCTTTTTTCATGGCTGTGTTATTTCGTAAGTCATTAACTTTACCAAAGATTATATAATTAAACGATCAAAAAAAGGAAAACTAGATACAAAATCAGAATTTACGCCACGCCAAAATTTTAATATGTAGCGAAAAAACACCTGTAGTTTATTAATTCCACGGGACGCGTATTATTTTTAAAAAAATAAAATAAAATATATAATTAATATACATGACAAGTACTCGTTTTAACGTATTTTTATACATTAAATTTATTTATACTCCCCCAAAAATGCATCGGCTGAGATAACTCAAGAAATTATTATGGCAAAGAGTTGAATATTATAGCTTTCTCGAGAATTTCGGTTTTATTAATTGAATGAAGGACATTATGATCAAGACAAACCTATCGCGAATCGTAGAATTCCTAGAGCACTAAGCGATTCAGCTTCATCTTCATAATGAGACGTATAACCCTTTAACTTGATTTTTTTTTAATAGAATTTATTGCTTTTTTATTCATGTGCATGTACAAGGTCAATCAAAAACTAAAAAAAAAAAAATCGATTATTTTAACGATAAACATATGGGTGGGGTGGTGTGCTATTAAAATTGAGGTACGGACCATATGGGAGGTTTGCTAGGAAAATGGGGCTCTGAGCATTTTTTATTAAAATTTTAATTTTTATTGCATTTTAATCTAACATTATCAAAAAGTTAATATGCAAAATTTTAATAAAAAATACTCAAAGCCCCATTTTTCTAGCAAACCTCCCATATGATTTACTATGCCTCAAGACTTGATTTTACTGGAAATGTTCCCATATATGAATCCATCATATAATCGAAGCTCAATGATAGCAGCAATAAAATCGAGAGGATCGGAGATGTTTGTCCGGCGTATAAAGAAATATCGATCAAGTCTTAGACATAATTGTTGTTTGACCTTTCTCTAAAATCTCAATTTAAAACATTAGATTTTATTTTAATTATGGGGGACATAAAATAATTTTACTAAATATCAGATCTCATAAAAATTGATTGTTTGTCTACAAATGGTTACTGTAATTTTAATGGTGGTGACTTTGATAAAATTTTTGTAGTCGGCGAAACATTTTTTTTTTTAAAAAAAAATTAGTTTTGAAATTGTACAATGACTATCGTGTCTTACCTGCATATCTTTCATCTGGTGTATGCGTATGCACTAGCCAAAATCATTATTAATTAAAAAAACAAAAAAAACCAGTATTTTTTGTTTGGGTTTATTTATTCTGTTCTGGGGTATAGGCTCTTAACTTGTTCCGCAACTGTATTTATCACGTGATATTATTTTAAAAAAAATATATTTATATGGGGGGAACACTACTAGGGGGTCACATCAACTAATTAAATCAAAAGTTTATCAGTTATTTAATTAAATTTTGTATACTTAAAATGAATTGTTACACAAAGCTTAAAATCGTCTTTTAAAACTTAAAGACACTAAACGATTCCCACGAACATCATATTTATTTATTTTCTTTCTTTTGGTCAGAAGCTATTCTTATTGGTTTTTTCTTCACAAATTATATTTGGTTCTCAAAACCAAATTTTTAAAATTTATATTAAAAAGCGAAATATCTGAACGTAATTTTTGTTTTTAAACTATCTCTAGACTTGCTGTAAAAATTTGAAGGTAAATACATATTTCAATAATGTGAATCATTTTAAATATATTAATTAGCATATAGATAATAAAATGCCAAAGATCTCCAAAAGAAAACTTCTATCACCAACTTTCTGTAAATAAACGAAAAGCAAAAAGAAAAAAGTATTCTTCAACAAACTATTGATAAAAAGGTGCACGACGTCAAAAGCTAATTAAAACATTATAAAAATCTCCAATATGCTATGCAAATATTTAATATACTTTTGATTTAATTAGTCGTTGTGATACCCTAGAACACGACCCCAGACCATTTGTGTGTACCTTGTGAATTACGCCAAATTCTGCTCGACGAAAAATTCGATCTTTGCGATCTAGGTCGATTTTAGAAAAAGAACAATCTTCACCTTTATTAATTAAACGTGAAAAGAAGTATCGTTGAGAACATCAGACTTTAAAAAGGAATAGATTAAATTTTTTGGTGACTATTAATTCGTAAAAGGTAAAGGAAAGGGTAATTTTTCTTGATCAAATGGATAATCTAGTAATTATTAATACTATCCTTACAATTAACATATTAGGAACTCATTTGAAAGTGAGAAATTTTTATTTTGATCAAATGATGTACTTAATGTTACACGTAAGTGCGTTTATTATAAAACAAAAAAAGTCGTAAAAGTTTCCCTTAGGGAAAGTACAATGGCTTTTACAATTGCTCCTTTAACCGATAATACTTACGCAATACTTGGTAAAAATAATAATTATATTGAAATTAAAATTTCTTCTATAGATGAAATTTTTAATAATCACCAAGGAAATATATTAAACGCATACCATCTCTTTCAAAGTGATATAAAGAAAGAAATTAAAAAAAAAGCTCCATCTGACAAAATCATCAAAAATATCCTCGATATTTCCGATATTTGGAATAAAGCTCCTGAATATATAATAGAAAAGTATAAGCTTCTTTTGGAAGAATTGGAACGAAAAAAAATAAAAATTTTGCACTTGTAATTCGACTTTAAAACCGGAAGTCAATGAAATTTGGTGTGTATCAGCAAATTTAAAAATTTAACATTTTTCTAATTGTGTTGGTTTTATTATTTTTTTTAAAAATAAAAAAGAAGAAAAAGATCGTTTAATTTAGGTGCGTATTCAAAAGATCAAAATTTGTTAACAAAGTAAACATACTAAGTTTTGGTTATTTAATATTTTCCTTTTAATTATTTTGTTTTTAACGTTAATTTTAAAATTTTAATTGAATATATCAATTACTTCTAAATTAATGTTATTAAACAATCTAAAATACTCAGTTGAAAATTTGGGGATTCATTAGGAAAACTTTCTTCAGTCGCAACACATCAAATGTATATATATGTATATATATTAAATATTGTTAAAATTTCGAAGGTCAAAAGGTTATTATGATTAATTGAATTTTGCAATTCCGTAATACTTTCATTGAATAATTTTATTATGTTTTTAGGTGAAAGAAAAAGATCGTTGTGTATCACGTGCCAAATATGCTTAGGAATATTTTTTTTGTTGATTAATTCAAAAATTAAATAAAACGACATGGCGATAAATTATAAATCTCTTAAATTTGTTTTTTTTAAAAAAAAATTATAGCATTCAAATATCATGCGGATGAGAAGGTTTAAATTTGATGATGAAAATAGGAATAAGGAAGTTTTACGGAAAAATTTTCGATTTTGTAAATTTGAAAAGAATTCATATTCAGAGTCAAATGAAGTTTGGAGTAAATCTTTTAAACCTATCTTATTATTTATTAGTTATATTGCCAAAGTTTTATTTTTTTGATTAATCGACTTATCCTTTCATGTCGATATTCGTATAATCAATAATACTTTGTATTTACCTTACCTCTTAACTTCAGAAGACTACGAGTTTATATTATTCAAAGTTCCAATAATCTCAATAAAAATTGAAATGATTTTATGGGTTAAAATCTCGTAAACCATTTATTATTTATCATTGCAAATGCCAGTTAAGAAATTTCCCAAAACTACAAAATATCTGAATTTTTTGACTTATTATTCTCTCTAGAGCTGTAAAGGAGATTGTATCAAAATCTTGATTAAACTTCAAAATCTCGGCTGACGAACGCCTGTTTGCTTAACTAATATTATTATTATGTTTATATTCTTCATAAGTATATTTATTTCTAAAAAAAATTAGGGTTATATATAAAGAATTACGTCTACCACCTACATTTGTCGATGACTTCTAAGGTCAGCATATTAGTCTTTATTATTACGAAGCGTCACAACGTACAGTATGTATGAATTTTCACCTAAAACTATTTATTTACTCCTCAAAAAATTTTTGTCAAATTCTTTAGCTCTTTTACATTTTTTATAAATGCAAATCCACCTTGTTTGAGTTAATAAATTTTTTTTTTTTTAAAAAAAAAAAACTATTTGTACATTCTGTATGCATCAGATAGCTAAATAATTTATTTATCCATAATATTTGTAATGAATTAATTTCTGACCTTTATAGTTTCCAAAAATAGACAACCATATCCTGTAGAATTGAATAAAGTTACGTAACATATTAGGAAATTATAAGTCATGATTATTATTTATATAAATTTTGAGTCTTTCGGATTTACTTTTAAAGAAAATGAATGTAACACCAATAATATTTTATAAAAAATAAAAAAAACCCTTTTCTCCTTAACATGCTTTTAAAATGTTCACTTTTATTATTAAAGATGAAAATGTAGGAATTTGTGTGATACTCGGACCGAATAACGAATATATTGAATTAAAGATTTCTACTATAATTGAAATTTTAAATAAGCATAGAGGGAAAAAATTAAATACGTTTTTCCTCTTTCAAAACGATTTAAAAAAAGAAATTAAAAAAAAAACAAAAGCAAATCAATTTGATGCTTTCCTCAAAAACATCCCAGATATTTGGAGGGGAATTCCAGATTCTTTTAAAAAGAAGTATAAACTTCTTTCGGAAGAACTTGAGCGACAAAGCAAGACTTCTGAACTTGAAATTCGACCTTTTAACCCTCATAAAAAAATGCAACGTAAGAGAAAACAAAAAGAAAACAATAAAGTTGAAGTTTTGGAGGGCAGTAAGAATGGTTCTTTTATTAAAACTTTCAGCGGCCATCATCCTAAGAAAAAATCGAGACATAACGAAGGTGAAGTCACTTGCTTTGAGCATATTGAGGGTAGAACGTATGAATATTCCAGTTCTTTGGTTGATACTGCTAGTAAGTTATTAAATAAACCAACAACCGATGAAACTGTTAAGTACCCACAGGAAAATAATTTTCGTTGTGACAATCCTCAAGAAGCGGAAAACGGTTCTTTCGTGGAATTTGATAATCTTCATTTGGAAAATACTCGTAATGTTATAATGCTCCAAGACTTAAGTTATTCTGTTGGGTTTCCACAAGTAAATTTGACGGATCCAAATGTTAATACGCCTGAAAATGTTGGTTACGAATATTTAGATTTTAGTAGTGTTAATCACATGAATAATCAAGGTTTAGAATATTTCGACTTTGACTCATTTCCTTGATTGATATTTCAGTTTGTGGAAAAAATTAAATTATTACTTTATTTGGTAAAAAAAATTATATTAACTACTTATTTTCCCAAATAAATCAATAATTAGGTCATTTGACCTCAATAATTAATATACAAACTTTTTTATTCCTTATTCGAATTTAAAATAATTTTTAGTTAGGCTGCAAGCATTATACTTTTTTTTTTTTAGCGTTAAGGTTAAAAATAAGAGCATAAACTAGAGGTATCATAAACAAAATTTTGAAGCCAGATCCGGCCGCGGACTTGAAATATTTATAGAGAGTCTTGCTATACAGTATAATAATTAAAAACATATTTATACACTGCATACCATGCGAAAAATAGGGTATATGGAAAACCGGTACGGTACGAATCGGTTGTCCGATACGATTTTTATAGTCACGTTTGTAGTATTTTAAAGTTAAAATTTCAATATTTAAAAATTAATTATTGAAATGGACAAACGAATATTTACTATCAAAAAAAAAATTTTTTTATTGGATATAATAAATTAATTTGACTAATAATATTTATAATTATGCAATTTTTTTTGCTGTCGAATCAATTGTTAGAAATAACAAATTCCTAATTTTGGTATAGTATGATGTGACTATGCATTATGGCACAAAAAGTGTCGTCTGGCACGTGACAATAAATTGTTTGGACTAATGTTCGTAATATTAAATGAAGTGATAAATGACACATCAAGTCAAGTATCTGATAAATGGTTTATATACTTGTTAAAAGTTTTTAACTATCTTATTTTAAATTAAATAATATGTTAAATCTTGATATTTATAAATACGAAAGTTCCAATATTTAAGGTGATTGTTTAATTCTTTTTGATACTAGTATATACAGTGGCGATCATAAATAATGCAACAAAAAAATAATTTTATTAAAACGAAATGTTTCTTTCAATTCTAGAGATATCCTTAATAAAATTTATTTGTTAATACCATTAATTTTCGGTATTAAAATTTTTAATATTCATTAATACTTCCGGTTATAAAATAATATG